ATGGAGTACGATGTAAGTATTTATGCTTTAGCATCCCGCATGCGTGTAAGTGTTGCCATGACAGTATGCTTGCCATGCGGCTAAATGCTTATGTGATAAAATTGTTTGAATGCCTGTGGGTGAAGGTTGGATTTTCTGAGTTGGAAAAACTCGTTGAAATCCGTATTTTAGCCTACTTCTTAGTCTAGCATGTTTTAGGCTTAGTCTTGTGAAGCTTTTGTGCATATTTTTCCATGTTTTAGGTCTGTCCATAGTTGTTTGGGTCAGATTTGGCATGCTTAGTATAGCCTATTTGCATTCCGGCTTGTTGGACTTAAGTATGTGAATGTATATGATGACATTTTTGCATTGATTTGGTGATTTGGAACCATCCACCATGTCATTTCAGTCCCCTTTACATGCCTATATGTTTGCCTTGGATGCTTCTTTAATACTTTGAAAGCTTGTGTAGCATGCTCCATGTTTTGGCATTTATGCATGCCTTTAAATTTGAGCCACTTAGATGCCATCTAGGGGCCCCCCTTTGCATGGTCTAGGTCTGTCTTGAACCTATTTTAAGTCCTCTTAGCCTTGTGAGGCTTGGTTGGCTTAGCCATGGTTCAAGTCCCTTTGACTTGCTTCAAGTACTTGGGCCATTCATTGCATGCTTGGTCTATTTTGTTTGCTTGGTTTGACACCATCTTAACATGAGTTCCCATGCTTACCTTACATGTCATATGTCCATAATTGCCTCATTCAAATGTGCTTGAGAGTTGCCTCATTTGTGCCTAAGTGTTGGCCCTTTAACATGTGCATAAGTGTATGTGTTTTGGTCCTTTATTTTGGTTACTTTGGCCACTGTTTTAGGCCTATTTAGAGTTGCCTAAATCATGTATAAGTCCATCTTTTCATCCGTTTGCATTGCCTCATGTTTGCTTTTATGCTTGCATAAGTGTCTTGCCATGCCATGTTGCATCTTTAGCTTGCATGCCTAGGTTGCATTGCATCTTGCATGCATGCCTTGTTCTTTTACTTGGTCATAGGAATTGGGCCTTGGTTCGTTTGTTTGGTTTGCATTTCATTTGACATGAAAGTTTCACACTTGATTCTTTGGGCCATCATGCATAGAAATACGTGATTGGTGGTCCGAGAATCGAGACACATGCCCTTTTGAGTCACAAGCATGATAGGGGACATGATTGGTGCATACATTGCTTGAATTGTGTTGCCATGCAAGTTCTGTCCTCTGTTGCTGTGAGTTGCAGGTTCTGCAGGCATTCTTTGCCGACCGGCAGTATACATTGCCGACCGACAATATATCACCAGCTGATGGATTTATTTTGTGCCGGTGACCACAATTCACTGCCAGTGGTAATTCTACTCAGCCAATGGTGATTCCCAGTATCCAGAGAGGCATCCTTGAGACTTTGGCAGTCTTCAGAGAGGTAGAGCAGGGAAAACAGAGGCAGACTATGCATGGCCGTGCACTTCCGAGCAGGACCCGAGCATGCGCTGCATTCGGCTCCCTTCCCGAGGCGGTTTACTGCTTTTCCTAGTTTAAATTAGTTTGTTAACTGATTAGGCAATTTGTAATATTTAATTAGCTTGCGTAGTTAATTAATTTGTATTATTTATTCAGTCCCTCTGGGCGAGGGCAAATCTGTAATAATTGTGTGTGAGTGGTGTGTATGTCTTCCAATCCCCACTTCTTTCTTCCCCTTTATTTACCTGCTTTGATGGTAGACTAGGGCATTTTTAAAATTAGCATACCTTATGCTATGCATGTGTGCATTCATGCATTCGTATTGCATGTATTAGGCTCGGTACATCACGCTAACTGCATTTGTACTTCAATTCAAAAATTGAATATGTGATAATTGATCGCATTTCATATACCATGTTTAGGTTAGCCGAGCCTATCTAATTGCATCCTGCATGTGGTGCATTAGTCAAATCAACATGAACTAGGACATGCATGTTTGCTAACTAGTTTACTGTTTTGGCACGGAGTACGATGTAAGTATTTATGCTTTAGCATCCCGCATGCGTGTGAGTGTTGCCATGACAGTATGCTTACCATGCGGCTAAATGCTTATGTGATAAATTGTTTGAATGCCTGTGGGTGAAGGTTGGATTGTTTGAGTTGGAAAAACTCGTTGAAATCCGTGTTTTAGCCTACTCGCGAGTAGCAAATTCCAAAGCGCTTTTCAAAAGAAACGGATATGCAACGCTTGTTTCCAAATTAGGCAATCTAGTCTATACTTGTTTGCTGTGCGCATAACATAGTAATTCTAGGCTAATAACCGGAATAAGAACACATAACGTTTTCAAAATCCGATATCATGGTTAATAGAGGCCGGTCTTCAGACCGAGCGAGAGGGGGTGCTCATAGCTGACCTTCCCCGATCGTACCCACGCTTCCGAGCCGAGGCAACTTTGGCAATGACGGACACGTGGCCTTTGGCACCGAGTCAGGGTTTCCTAAATTTCCCCTTTAAAAAATATTTAGGTAGCGACTCTGTATCTGGCAAAGCAGTCCATGTTTGGCACTTCTTTTTCTAAAAATCTGTTTTTTCTCAAAACGATTTGCCAAATTTGGACTCTTTGGTTCGGATTAAGAACCGTGACAAATTGAGTCTGAACTGTGGCGAGGGCCCCACGCGGGCGCGTCTACAATCACGTACTCAAAGGTTTGCATCTGCAAAAAGAAACAAAAGAGAAAAAAAAATCATCATTTACAACATAATTATTTTCAAGCTTATAGAAAATGTAAAACATTTGATATTATTTTCAATAAATAAATAAATAAATAAGATTGTAAACTCTAATATCAATATACGAAGATATCATCACGTACTCAAAAGGGTTGCACCTGCAAAAAAAAAAAAAAATCATTTACAATATAATTAATTTCAAGCTTACAAAAAATGTAAAACATTTCAAATTTATTTCAATAAATAAATAAATAAGATTGTAACATATACAAGAAATAATAAATTAAATATTAAACAATTGGCATTGAGATGAAGTCCTGCATTATGTGACAAAAAACTTAAGATCAGTAATGATCTTCAGCTCCAGTTTGTTCATTAATGTTAGATGATCAGAGTGTTCTTAAAAACAATCTATTACATAAGCCAATTCAACAACTGAACCTATTAAAAATAAAAAAGTTTTCCATAACAGATCTGAACATGCCCTTACAATTCATTCACATTCTCAAAACTAAAAAAGACTCATGCTGATGCCATGCAATGATGCAATCACTAGTTTTAGTTGAAAAGTAGCAAATAACGAGTTCCCATTAGCAAAACGTCTTTAGTAATATAGGAATTCTCATGGAGTCTTTAGAAGGTTTTTGTACTTCATTTTTGTGGGTATTAAGTGATGTAATTTGGTTGGAAATTAAGGAAACGTTCAATGTATAGTTTACCTCAAAGAAGGTGCAACAAAAGAAGATGCAGCACTCTGAAGAATACTAACACCAATCAACTGAGTGAAGGCCGCCTTATCTTGCTCTAAAACATACTTTACAGTCGTCCCTGAAAAAACCAATGCATTTAAATCACAAAAGCTTCTCAATTTCCAAGAACATCATAACGTTTAATTAATTTAGGAAAATAAAGAAGAAAAGAATACTATTTAAAGAGACAATGCGATCTGATATCCAAGTTCTCGAAATCATAAGTATAGCAATTGCAAGGAGTTGTGCTCCCTGCTCATCAAGCACTGTGGGTACCTAAGAACGACCAGCAAGCAAAGATCAAAACTTTGTGTAAGAATGCAGTTTTCATTTGGCTCAGATATGTCAACATTTCAGATAAGTAATGGAAACAATGAAATATTTATAAATTCAAATAAAGAGCAGTAAAGTCCTCCCCCCCCTTCCCCCTTTTTTTATCAGAGTAGTGAAGTATATTAATAAGTGAAGATATACTGACTAAAATATTTTATTGCATTGTTAGCTTTCAATTTCCCCAACAGGCTACTCCCTTTTTATTATTTGGATAAATGAATATAGCCTTTTAATGTCCTCCATCTTAGATGATAAGACAAACAAAAATTTTCAGAACTGTCATATTTCAACCATTTTACAGCATGCTTAGATGGACACAACTTCGTTTTGAGAAATAATTTGAATTTTGATTTTAATCCTTGTCTCTTTACAGTTCAATACAAAATGGAAATACTTCAGATGTTCCTATGGCAACAAAAAGAAACAAGAACACTTTGAGAAGAACGTAAAGATAAATGTCAAGAGATATATACATATATATATATATATATATAGAATTGTTTAGTCACACATCAACAAGTTGGAGCTGGGCACTCACCCCTGAAGCTCAAAAAAACAAGATGATGACAAGCCAACCAAAGTGTGCTATAGGAACAACAAAGAAGGCAGAACATTGACTAAAACAACTTAGAAAAGAGATTCTAAGTACAGAATTTGTTTCTTTAATTCTGAGATACACTACTTGCCCTTGGGTATTTTTGAACAAGAAAATGTTTCATATGCTAAAAACTATTTTCATGGAACTCAATATTTTATATGCAACAAGGAATGAAGGAGGGAGGGGGGGGGGGGGAGGAGGGAAGGAGAGAGAGAGAGAGAGAGAGAAATCAGCATCTTTCGGATTTTTCTTGTGCCTACCATAGCAAGATGGCACAGATCGAGTACTAGGCAAACAATGCAGTACTTGGTTCATAATTTCCAGAAAACAACAAATTATTCTTATGTTGCTAAGAAATCAAGCTGGAAAAGAATAAAACAAAATTACAGATAGCTGAACCCTGTTTGGTTTTTTCAAGTGCTATGATATGTTTTTAACTCCTCACTAGTTCAGCCTAACATAAGAAACAAAGGTAACTAAATTAACTTAATTGAAAAACAAAAGCCTCCACTTAATTGAATAAGAAACATTATTAGATTTAATTATATTAGAAAGGGAAAAAATGGAACACTCATATTGATCAGCAATCAGTGGCTTATAATGACCAGTAACTAAAGGATCTTTTACAAATTCTTAGTCATCCTCATACCAGTGGCTTATGTATCAAACAAAGGGTTAGAAATCAAAGAAATAAAATACCTCATAAAATACTTATGCTCCATTTGGTTCCCTGGAATGAAATTAAATGGTCATTCCTTAAAATTTCCTATGGAATGATCCTTCCTTTACAATGGTGAGTAATGATTCCATTTGCAATGTAATTTTCATTATTTTTTTAGTCAACTAAACATAGAAATGAACATTTTGATGGAATGATCATTCCATTTCCACTCAATTCAAGTGAACCAAACACTACCTTATAGTGACTAATTGTCAAAGCAAACTCATTCATTTTCTTAACAGTAAGAAGACTACAAGGTGACACTGGTCCACAGCCACTTCATCTGTGTTATAGAAATCACACATTTTTACAAGGTAAATAATAATAATAATAATAATGTTAAGAAATAGTCTAGCATTAACATAACAAGTTTTGAAACACACAATTCTCCAACCAAAACCCACAAACTTTTTAATGCCAACCTATTCAAAACCTTTTAAAGTCAACAGTACGCCCACTTCTTGAAATGATTTCCTAAACCCCAAATTGGACTAATTTTATTCTATTTTGATTCATTTCTTCTTCCCCCATAGAATTTAGAGAGCCCATTAGACCATTTCACAAACACACTCAATTCCAATCCAGAAGTAATCAAACGAAATAAAATCAAACATTTTCAGAATACAAATCGCATCCAATCCAATTTGTTTCACATAGAGAGAGAGAGAGAGAGAGAGAGAGAGCTTCTTGAAAGAAGGATGTTTGCGATGCTTTTCACCGGAACCATTGCCCTCCGAACTACCCTTGGAGTCCTCTTGCTGCCGCTTTTGCGACATTACCGATGCTCGCAGAAAACAACCACCACCACTAATAAGCTACTATGGCTATGGCTATGGCTATGGCGATGGCGGTGGGACAACATAGAGATATAGAGGAACCATTTCAACCCAGTCGATAGAGGAACCGACTGGAATGAGAGAGTCGAAAAAAGAGTCAAAAAAGCGTACCGTCTCGCTGCCGAATTAGTCTTGCCGTTGCTGAACTAGTCTCACCGTCGATTGAAACCCTTCTCCTTCAACCCCAGTCTCTCTTCAAACCCTCTATCTTCTCTCTCTCAGAATAAGGTTTGCTCACTGTTTTGAAACAGTGGTGTGAAATTAAGGGCTCTACAAACCTGAAAGGAAATGAAAAAAAAAGGGGGAAAAGGCAGAGGAAAAAAAAGGGGGGAAATTAAGTTTGGGCGGGCCGTCAGGTGAGTCAGTGAAAAAATAAGGAAATTTGTTTTATTTTTATTTTAATGATTTTTTTTTATTTGGTAGAAGCAGGGGTAATATTTTAATGAAAATATTTTCTGTTAAAATAAAGTTAATTTTTTATGGTCAATAAAAAATATTTTTTTGTAACCCATTTTTTTTTGTTATTAAAAATCAAGAGCTAATTTTTTGTGGTAGAGAAGAGGGAGCGGCAATAGTAGTGAAGGTGGTGGATAAGAGGTGATGGTGGTGGTGGTGGTGATAGCAAAGGAGATTAGTGGTGAAGTTGTGGTAGTGGTAGAGGAAATGGAGTGGCGGTGGTAGAGAAGAGGTAAATAGTAGTAGTAGTAGTTGGTGGTGGTGGTGGTAGCAGTGGTGGTAGTGGTAGTGGAGTGGTAGCGATGATGTAGTAATGGTAGTCATAGAGGTGGAATAACAATAGTGGTAATAATGGTGGTAGTGGAATGACATTTGCAGTAGTGGTAAAGGTGGTAGAAAGAGATGGGTGGTGAGAGAGAGATGAGTGAGAGACAGATAGGAGAGATAGAGTGATGAGCGAGAATGGTCGCTAAAAGTGCATTTTCTTGTAGTGGAGAGCTTGGTAAATAGAGAAGAGGGAAGGGAGAGAGTGAGTAAGTGAACATAATGGGGGGAGACAGATAGATAGATACAGAGAGAGAAAGAGAGAGAGGAAGAGTGATGAGTGAAAGAGAGACATAGAGAGAAGAGAGATATAGAGAGAGAGAGACAGAGAGAGAAAGAGATAAAGAGAGAGGCAGACAGAAAAAAGAGAGAGAAACAAGAGATGCACGAGAGATAGACAGAGAGAGAGAGAGAGAAAGAGAAGTGAAAAGAGATGATCGAGAGAAAGAGAGAGGAGAAACACACACACACAGAGATAGAGATGACCGCCATTTTGGTCCTCTCTGCTCGCTCATCACTC